ATGAACAAGACTTGTTCTTTATTATATAGTAAGTAAGTGCCGTAGCTACGATGTGTTTCTGTCAACGCTACTCTCGTAGCATTAACATTAGTCGTAAGTATTATCGTAGCATTAACATTAGCATTAACTTTACGATGTTTCTAACAACGGGCCCCTGCATGACTTGTGCTCTACTTGTCATATCAATTCACACATCGTGAGTACAGTTCCTTGTTTGTTTGTTCTGGTATTTCCGATAATCGATTATTTGTTTTCATAATCAATTATCGAATTTGAGACTATAATCGATCGATTTTCGATTATAATCGATCATCGGGACATCACTAATGACCACTACTCTTTTTTCTCAAAGAATGCGATTACACATCAAATAAATCAAATAAAAAATCAGTGCCTGCATGTCTGTCAAATATAACGTCCATAACTTTGATGTTAAAAATAAAATCTAGACATGCTTTTGGCATAACACCCCTACTCACAGTTAAAGTGGAACATTCCACAGAAAGTAACATCAGCGCCAAAATGTAGATGAGTGGCTAATTGTAATACACACACGAAACAGCTTCTCAGTGGACCAAACCAGAGTTTATTCAGGCCAACTACTCGCACAATAAACCAAAGCGCGTCACTTCGTTAGAACGACGCCATTCGAGAGGCGGAGGGTGCGCCCTCTCTCGAGCTACACAAGCACCTCTCGTAACAACACTAACACAACACTGGCGTGACTGCCTTTTTCTCCTCATGAAATGCACTGCAGTGTGCGTAAACTGAACTGTATAGACTAACTGACTATATAGACTTATACGGACTAACAAGTACCACAAATAGAACATAATACAGTAACATGGGTACTAAACAGAACTTATATCTACGCATTATCGGTCAATCGACTCAATCACATGAACAACGCTGAACAGTTAGAACAGCTAGAACAGCTAGCAGTTAACAGTTACTAGCTAGACCAGTTAGCTGCGTTTGTCCCCTTTTCTTCATTTTGCACTGAATTTTGCCGCCAACACTGTCTATGATGCCCGGTTGGGGCCACACCTGTGACACCTTCACTGACTGGGTAGCAGCAGTGTCCGTGCGAGGCTCTAGAGCGAGCGAGGCACCGGATACTAAGCCTTCATGGAGATTGCGTTTTGCATCCGCTCCTGGCCATATCGTAGTAGTGGACGACTGCGCATGCAGAACATAACTCTGCGCACGGCGTACTGAAGGCGAGGTAGAGGGCCTGTTCTGTGGACCATACTGGTACACGCTACCATCGTCAAGGATGACCTGACGTCTGGCAGGCCGAACCGTGATGTCATTGGCCTCCATGAAGGGAACACCGGCCACGACATCGACGTCCAGGTTCTCCACGACAAGAGCCTCGAGTACGAATTCATTCTTTTCTCTCGACAGAATGATACGCGTCTCACCATTGACTTGCAACTGAGAGTGTCCGTCTGCTTGACATGCTGCCTGAGAACTTGCTGTTACGGTCGCACCTATGTGTCTGGCCACTGATTGGCGAATCATGTTCACCTCCGCGCCGGAGTCGAGCGTCACACATATGACATGGTGACCATAAACTGAGTTAAGGTGTGGCGACTGATTCACTTTAACTCGGCGAACTGCTGTAGACGAATTGCTAACGCCTACCTCTGTTATCTCGGCTTCCACATAGGGGGACTCACCCTCCTGGTCACTGTCACAACAGGAGATCTGGCGAACTCTTGACATAAACCTCCGATCTGCGTCGGGTAAGTTCGGACACCTGCTGAGAAAGTGCTGGAACTCCTTGCGGCCTGCCTGCTCGCAAAGAGGGCACGTTTTTGCCGGATGCTGGGGCTGGAAACCCTGTCGCTTTCTAGAGTCTGACGAACATCTCTGCTGGCTGAGGTGTCGGCCAGAAGCTGCCGACCGCATAGAAGACCCTGATGTCTCTCTGAGTTGGTCAACTCATCCAGAAGTGCTCCAATGCCTGCAGACACCTCTGGCTTTAATTCGAAGCCAAAAGTTCTAGGATCGTAGCTCGGTGCATTGCGCTTTGACGGCGGGGAAGTCCTTATTGGAATCAGCTTTACGCCACGTCAAATAAATTGAATATCTCAGCGAAGGCGACATTCTCTTGCATCTCAACAGAATACTCACCGTGTGTGACTGATGTCCGCAACCTTGTCAAAAGATTGTCTTCGGCAAAGCGGTCGTCACTGAAACAGGTCCCTCCGGACGTTCGCGTTTCGTTTTAATGTAGCATAAATCTATGAAGTGCGTCTCCAAGTTGACCTGAAAGCCATAGTGCATGCGGAATAGCTGCCAAAATGTGCTCATAGAGGTTGAGTTATTTCACGATGCGTGCCCTGAATATCACTGGGCAGGTAATTAGCGATCTGTCCCAACATTAACTTCAAGCAATGATTGCTTTCTGTTCCGGCCGTTCGACGACGCTTACCTGGTATGCTTTCACATCATTCTCAAATCCGCGTATTGGGGGAGGCGGCGCGCCCGATCT